TTATTTTATCTCGATTTTAAAAATTAATAATATTTACCAAAAAAAAAAATATGTATTTAACATAGATTCGATATTCAAATTAATATAAAACAATTAATATAAAACTTTGTAACTTAATATTTTATTAAAATTAAATAATAATAGAAGTTAATTTACTAGTTTTTAATACATTATATATAATAATATATTATAATATAACAATAAATTGAAAAATCATATGATGAGTATGAAATAAAAGAAAAATATGTAAAAATATATATTCTTAATTTAAATAATATATATGAATGTATGAAAAAAAAGAATGTTTCTCATAAAAACTCAAGGAATAAGTATATCGTTACAAGTATCTTCTGTGAATATTAATGATAGTCTATTGTATAATATAATATATTTCTTCTTAATAAGTTATTTATTAGATTGATGGAAATATTATATCAGTTTTTATAATTAATTCAGATTAAATCGAATAGTTATAATCGAATCTCAAAATTCAATGACGACTTAAAATTTTCGAATTTTCCAGATTTCATCTGATATTTTTGGATATGAAAAATTTAACAAATGAAAATTTGATATATTACAAAGATTTTGCTGAAAGATCATTATTTATTCAATTGTAAAATTGTAAGCAATTGTAAAAGCTTAAAAATAAATTCGTAGCTATTATTTTTAATTTTTAGCATTCAAGACAATATCTTATATAGTTTATTTCTGTTAAGTTATAGAAATATTATTTTATTTTTTAAGATAAATTTAAACTTATAAAGATCAAACTATTCTAAATTCCAATTATAAGGATTAATTAATCTTAAAAATTATTCAAAATAAATTTACATTTTCATTTATAAAAATCAGACTATCCTAAATTATAAAAATAAAATAAATATATAAAATACATTAACCAAATAATATATATAATAATATATAAAATAAATATATCAAATAGTTGGTATGATAAATTTTTATTATAAATTTTTCACAATAGAATAAAGAAAATGAATAAAATTGTAATCTTATAGACATTTTTATATTATAAAGATTCGAGTTACAAAACTTCGATTATATATATAAAATAACTATAATTTCTTTTTGTAAAATTTTATTTTTTTCAGATAAATATGTTATAAAAATGAAGATACTATTATTCTTTTTTAAAGAATAAAATTCATTGCTATTATACCATCATTTGCAATTTAAATATTTTATATTGTTCATCAGTTAAACAAAACAATATATTATAAATAATTGTATATCATCATTATAATCATTAAAATTGATATATGACACTATTTCTAGCACTTTCAAAAAATCGTCCTAGAAACATTATCGATCATTACATGTGATCATATTTGTCTTTTATTCTTTTTTAACATAGCAAAATATGAACTCGTTAGTGGAATGACTGGTTTCTCTGTGAAGTATGATGGTACGCACCGGTAATTAACGCCATATCATTTAAGCAATTCACTGATAGTAATTGAAGCCTGCTGCGCAATGGAAATTGTGGTTTGCCGCGATATGAAATGCCGCGTGTCGACCTAATTTCAATCCGTTGACATAGTCGACGACAATATCGAAATTTTTCGTTTCCTACGATATCTATTTTCGTAACGAGTTTCATATTATAAAAATTTTTTTCATTTCATCAATTAGATCATCGAGATTCTTTTAAAAATTTCATATTTTGCTTCAAATAAATGTGAAAATATAATTTATAAATCAGAATATGATTAATCTTAATTTTCTTTATAATTTGTTATAATTTTTAACATCATTCGATTTTTAATTTCAATAATTTTCTATAATTATAAAATTGTAATCTTGGAATCAAATTTAATAATAGATATGCTAAACTATTTGCTTTTAAAAATCTGATTAAAAGATATTAAATTTTAAATTCAATTCTTTTTTAAGTAAAAAGATAAATAAATAATGATAAGATAATAAAACAATAAAAGATTTTGATATTAAAATTATTGATAAAATAATTATAAATAATTATAAATAACAAATTATAATTTATATAATAAATATCTATTTATAATTAAAATATAAATATAATTCATATTTAAAATTGTATTAATCTAAAAAAAAAAAATAATCTAAAAAATTGATAAAATTAATTGATAAAATATTCATTATTATATTGCACATTATCTTTAAAAACTAAAATATAATATTTTTTGAATATAGAATATAATATAAAATAGAAGATAAAGGTGAATTACCTGATTCATATCTATAGTTATGAATTTTTTTATATCATTGACTTGCATATTTTCTTGAATGTCACATTGTAACTGTTGATTCCGGTATTTATTTATTCTTGATAATAGATAATCAACCGTGTCGTGTAAATATGCAAAACGTACGATCATTTATTGTTTTAATATACATATTTACGTATGTATATTTTTATCATATGTATATGTCACATTATTATTAATAATTTAAGAAAATGATTTTATTGAAAAATATTTATTGTATGATGAAAAAAGGCATTTTATTTTTATAACAATTGAATAAAGATTTCGATTATGAAGTTTCTAGAATAAGATTTCTATAAAATTTCTATAATCTTTGAATGTTTTTGTAAAACTTCATGTACAATTTCAATTTATAAAAAATGTAACATAATAATGTAAAAATATTTTGTTTTCATAAAAATTCATAAAAATTATTTTAATAATACATTATTAAATAAATAAATATTTATATAAAGCATTAATTATTTAAACCAATTCTTTTGAAAAATATTCGTATAATCGAACGCATATTTATTCAATTTATAACTATATAAATTAAATCTAAAATTATATGTTGAATAGAAGAAAATTACTGCTAATTTAAAATATATATTAATTCATTTTTTGAAAATTGAATATATTAATTCAAAATATTAATTCATTTTGAAAAAATATTTTGAAGTAATAATTTACATTTATTACATGTATAATAGATATATTCTTTTATATGAAAAAAAAAACAAATATGTATAATATATAATATATAATTATATATGATGAATATAATTAAGAAAATTTATTATATTATATATTATATATTATTATATTGTGTAGATATTATTGGTGATAGATCAAATGATGACAATGTACTAAATTTTTATCTTAAAATATCTTAGATTTATTTGGTTAATAATAATTTATTTATTTATTAAAAATTTATATACAATTTATATAAAAAATAATTACACAGAATATTATCAAAAGATATAATAACATAATTTACATATATTATATCTTTTGACCGCGAAAATTGCTAAATATAATAATTTATAATTCATATCAAATAGACTTGAACGCAACAATCTTGATTTCTTTAGCTATGCATATGCGATTAGAACATGTCGAAAGAGGATTTGTGTTTATTTTATCTGTTTTATAATTTATGCAAATAACTTGATAGCATTTTAATTATTAGATATGTAATTAATGTGAGGCTAATAGTCGTTCGTTAGAAAAATTTCCTTTATCTTCTATATGGATATAAATTATAGAAAATGTTTCATATTTTTGTCTTCAGATTATCTTTCGAATTTATTCTAAAAATTATATTTCAAGTAAAATTAATATATTTCGAGATAAGCATAATTTATATAAATGAATTGTTTTTCTGATTTGGAAGATATAGAGAACATGAAAGTCAATTTTATTTTAAAAATAAAAATCTATATTTTTATCAATAAATCAATCGATGTAATTGATCATTTTCTGTAAGATATACTATTATGTTATTATAATAGAGAAATATCAATTTAGAATATAATTAATTTTGTAAAAATTAAAGTATAAACAATAAAGAAGAGGCAAAGCAGTTTCATAATTGTTTGCTTCTGATATCAACTTTATAAAATGAAATTAAAATATTTTATAAACTAGAAATATTTTATTATAACTAGCTTATTTATATAATTAGATATTAGCTATGTTGATTAATTCGAAAATATTTAATTCTCTAATTAAAAATCGAATGTAAGATAAAAATTGTACAATTAGATATATATTTGATATAAATGAATAACATGAAAGTTTATGCATTTATATATTTTCAAAAATATTATAAAAATAAGTTATTCACTTTCTTTTTTTTTTAAGCTTATCTATGTTTGTTTAATATTATTATCGGGCTATTTATTGTTGCTGTCATAATTTCGATATTAAAAAAATATTCAATTAATTACATCAACAATTTCTGATAAAATACAAATACAATTTTTTGATTAGTTTTTTATTACAGTTTTTTATTCTTTACACACATAGACATTTATAATGGATATTTTTAAATTTAAAAAATATTTCTTCAATCAATTTAATGAGATATATCAGAATTGATTTATAATCAGTATTATATAATATTTTGAATATCAAAAATTAACTTTTAAAAGAGAAAATAAAGAAGAACATATTAAAATCATTTAAAATAATAAATATCATGTGTTTTTCGTCTAGAAAAGATTCATTTATATTCTTAAAATATTAAAATATATTCTTGAAACATATTTTGAAATATTGATTAGTTCGAAAAATTGTTGCATTCAAAAGTTCAAATGGAACATATAGAACATATTATAGAACTCCATCAGCAATCATTTTTTATTTTTTGAAATTGAAGTTCGAGAGCTAATTATATTTAAAAAATGCCATATATAATATTAATTGTCAATAATCTTAAATTAAAAATTTAAAAATTTATCAAAAGTTTTTTTGTTTTTCAGTTTTAAAAGATTTATTATTTATAAAAATTTCGTATTATTTTAAAATATTGTCTAATAATTTTTATTCGTAAATATTAATTTATGTTTTTTTTTTTAATACCTACAAAATTCCTTAAAGAATTTTGAAACAACAAGATATAAAAAATTCTAAATTGCTGATGAAGATTTAAGAAATAATCGAATGTTCATTTTGAATTTTACATATAATTTTTCTTATTCATTAATTTGTTTTTTTTTATTATTTCTTTGTTTTCATACGTTTCAGGAGCATAAAGTAATTCGATTCCGGAAGTCGGTGCCGGACAATGTTTCACCGGATGATGGCAAACAACGAGCCGAACGTGAAGTGGAATTCGTTAGGTTTGTGGCTTCCTGCTTTTTGGGCCCATACACGCAAATCCCTGAGATTCTTCGTTATGATGCGAAAGATATTACTAAACTTTCAGAAGCCATTCGACCTCTTCGATCAGGTAACTTGTTTGAAATTATTTTATTTTAAAATTTTTATATGGAATACTATAAATACTATAAATACGGAATACCATTTTGAAATTTCGTTTAGGTCGCCGTTAAATTTAACAAAGTTTTTATTGAGAATATATATATATATATATTTAAAAAAAAAATCATATATTTGGAGAAAATTTACTATTTCGTAAAAAAAATTATATTCTAATGTAATTTTATTCTATTTTATAATTTTATTCAAATTTCATTTACATAAAATAAATAATGAAATATTATTTAAAATAATTAAATATTACTTATTTAAGATTAATAAATATATGAAAAAAGAGAAAAAATACAAATAATATCTAATATAAAAAATTTAAATTTTACGAAATTTTATGATATCTCGATGAAGTGTATAACAATACTGTATTTTTAAAATAATTATGAAAAAATATAAAAAAATGTATTATTTTAGAATTTCAAAAAATATAGATTATAATATAAAT